CCCCCCCTCCCCCCCGGGGTTTTTTAAAAGAAAACCCCTTTTTGGGGGGAGAAAAAATTTGGAAACTTTTTTTTTTGGGGAAACCCGGCTGTGTTTTATTTGTTTTTTTCTTTTCCCCCCCCCCCCTTTTCGTAGTTTTTTCAGGGGGCCCCCCCCCCCCCCCCCCCCCCCCCCCCTTTCCCCCCTGAAGGGTTGGACGGCGGACGAGTACGAGGCCGGGAAGGGCAACAACTGGGGCGACCGTTACGACGTGGGCGGCACCGCCGTGCCTGACCTTATCCCGTACGACTCCGAAGAGATGGCGGACTTTGTGGAGGAGGCCAGCATCGCCGAGAAGGAGCGGTATCGCTTCCTCCTCCTGGCCGCCCTCGGGGGAGGGGTGATCCAGAAGGCGGAGAAGGAGAAGCTGGAGCTGTACCGCGAGATGCACGCCATCCCGGACGAGGAGCACAACCGGCTGCTGTTCGAGCAGGGCTGGAAGCCGGAGGAGTACGACGCGGGCTTCCACAAAGACATCGCATCGTCGCACTTCCAGCGGTACGCCTCGCTCGTCAAGCGCGAGCTCGACAAGGGGAAGGTGAGCAGCGAAGTGGCGGAGGGGGGGGGCTCCGCGGGGGATATTATGCTTGGCTTTATGATAGTAGGGGGGTAGGAATCCTCGCGAAGGCGGTCCTTCCCAGCGGTACAGTGTAACAGTATGATTTGGTGTTGTCTCTTTTTAGTAGGCTTTTTTTCCTTGGTGGAGAAGGGTACATTAGGTAAGCGAGGGTTCCGTTGTTGGAGGGCGGGGGGGGTTATGACGTCACGCCTGTTATTTTGTATCACCGTGCTTTGTTTCGTCGAGTGACATTTGTCGGAAACCTATCTACACACACACACACCCTCTTTCTGTTGCTGTACGTTTCTTGTTGTGCCGGTATAAAGCTGTTGGTTGAAAATCACAGAGCAATGACAGCAGTACCCGTTCGAGAAAATACGTCTGATTTTCGCTGCCGGTGGGTGTGTTGCGATTGGTCAGGTTACTGGCAAGGCAAAGTCTAACCTCAGGCAATTCCGGACCCAGGGCAGCATCTCCTCCCAGGCTCACCTCTTGGCCGTCGAAAAGGAGGTACGGTAAATTTACAACACGTGCTACTGAATAACGCATGGGCTGTTTTGTTCACGTCCAGAGGTGGCTTGCTGTTGCATGTATATATGTAGTAGGGTTGACCGAAGAAGAAGTCGCTGAGGTGGAGGTTCGAGTCGGCGCTTGTGTTGTGTTGTGTTGTGTTGTGTTGTGTGCCACAAGGGGGTGGAGGTAAGTGCACAACGCGTGCTGAGACGCATGGGCTGTTTTGGTTCACGCCCAAAGGAAGTCTGCTGTTCTAGCTAGCTGTGTGCCGGCCACGGAAGGCGTCCTCGTCAATTGGACCCGCACTACACTAACAGGCTCTGAGCGGAGACCGGAGCGGTTTTTTAATGTGAAGACAACAACTTACCGAAGTTTCTGAGGTGTAGGTTCGGGGCGATGTGGGCGGAGGAGGCATGTGTTTGTCGCGGTGCTCGTGCCCTGCGCGGCGGGCCGGTTCGAATGCCGAAATCCTGTACTCGGCGGAATGACGTGGTGTCATTCAAGTATGCATAAGGAATTGAACCTCCCGTGACCCGAATCAATCTGATGATGTTTTCCTTCGGGCCCCTTCTTGCTGGGGTTGGGTTTGTCAAGGGCTGGACGGCTGACGAGTACGAGGCTGGTGCCAAGGCAAGGGGTGACAAGACCAAGCCTGAGAGCTGACCAAGCCCAAGAGCTGAGAGAGAGAGAGAGAGAGAGAGAGAGAGAGAGACATAGAGAGAGGGATCTACAAGGTGGAAGTGGGCAACAGCTCTCAAGGGGGGAAGGGGGGAGTGTACTCATCGCCGTGCATGCCGTAGACCGCCGACCTCGCATCCCTACAAACCCGGGACGAAGCACGCCGGGTTTTCACCGGACCAGGCTAGCACATCACATCACCAATCGTGAGGGGGGATGGGGAGTGAGATTGCGGCCATAGGTAGCGGGGTGGATGTGCATGTACGACCCGGCCTCCTCTCTTAGGAACCCCCGCGGCGGCGGCACGGAGCATGCAGCAAGGACTTGGATTGTGAACGGGAAGCCTTAGAACCTTGGAGGATTCTTTGTCGAGGAGCTCACCTTTGTGTGTGTTGTCTGTCTGTCCCTCTTTTTCCGTTGGTTGATGATGTTGTTCTCGCACTGGCTCTATTTAGCAGAAGCCATCTGCGGCTTTATTTTTATTTTTTGTGCAACAGGGGGAGTGGGCACGAACGAAGCAGGAAAAACCGATGCCTTGTGGAAATGGCTTTGTTCAATGAAAGGGTGGGGTTCTTCAATAAAGGCGGTGCGATTGTTCAGTGGCATGAGAAGATTGGGGGGGGAGGGTTACCCATTGTATCATGTGCTGATGCGAAGGTGGGAATCGCATCAAGCATCAAGCTGGGTGGCAGATAATCGGTATGATAGCAGTTTCGTTGTGATGTAGGGTGTAGACCGGGCCATGGCGTGTTGACATGCGTGCACCAGAAGAAACAAGAACGGCCCAGGGGATTGACATACGTACGTTAACGTTGGTACGGCTGTGTCTGGCCTCATGGGTGGGGTGCAAAGGGTCAAATTGTACGTCGTTCGTTGTCCTTCGACGTACTGGAGTGCTTTGCGTGTTGGTTTGAGGTAGACGCGAACGTCTGCCGATGGGTGTCATGTGTGCTTGTCACTCACCACAAACGCAAGACGATATGTCCCGCTGTACCGGGTTCTTTTGCGGGATGGATAGATAGAGGAACGTTGCGGTGACGGTGTATTGCACGCACCGGTCTCATTCGTGATGTGGGTTGAGTGTATCGCACGCACCGGTCTCATCCGTGATGTGGGTTGAGGGGTGTGGCATGCACCCACATAGATACATCCATGTGTGGCGAAGGTTCGTCTACGCCTTGCCCGGGGCCTAAAACGGAGGTCACGGAGGTCTTGGAGATGCAGACTAATCGGGTTTCTTACCAGCGTATTTAGCGTGTTGGTTGCGCGGGGGCGGGGGTGGGCAGGAAGCACACGTGAGTTTTACGAACGGCGGTATCGCGTTTCCTGTGGAAACTGTCGTCCTTGTCTGTTCTGATTACCCCTGCCTTGAAAACGCCTCCGCTACTGTATGTAGCGCTCTGTATAACGCCGATTCGGCCGAACTGCAGCATCAGGGTTGGTTGTAGTCCGTGAAAACACCCACAATTTTGTGCACGTACGTCTCTCGTTCTCTCGTCCCGCGGTAATGTAGATGATAAGCTCCAGTTTGATCACCGTTGACCTCTTGTTTGACGCAGCTTGTTCCTTTCCCCCCCCTCCGATATCATCGTCTGGTGTTGTATTTGTCCTGCCCTCTTGTGAGAATCTGAGCGGAGATGGAGAGTTTTTCTTGCACATGGAGTTGAGATGTGGAGACAATGGTCGATGACGATGCGTTGCCAGATCGAGAACTTTTCTTGCACATCGAGTCAAGATGTCTAGACGATGATGATATGACGCGTTTTGACGAAAGACGAATAAAATAGATACATGAAGCGCTGACCTTTCGTCGTGACGACTTGGCGGGTCGACGAGTTGGGTGCATTTTCTGCGTGGTGCAGTGCTTTTCACTCTGTAACACGGGCGGGCTTCCGCTACTCGAATCACCCCTCGTGTCGTTACTTACCACTGGCTTCGTTTGAAACATGACAATTGCCCGCATGAGCTTTGCGAACCTCTCGCGTCTATCTGCCCAGCAGCCGCTAGCTTTTCACGGGATGGCATGCTTGCTCAAGTTTCAGGGTTTCCCACACTCCAGTAGTCTATGTGTGGTTCGCGTTGCAATGCCTGCAGATTTCCCGTGTTCCGAGGCACAGATGACCCCTCCCCGATCGGACGTCACGACTTCTCCCGATCCTGTGACCTTGTAACAGGAATCCCTTTATTCTCAGGGTTAAAGTTTCATTCACTCGACAAAATCCAATTCCTCCCTGCTACATGGACCCAGGTTCCGGTACACACAGGACACACACACAAAACACCTTAAAGGGACCGCTTCTGTGGCTTGAGACGGAGAAGGACTAACAGGAGCTATCGTCAAGACTAGGAACAGTGAGCACCCGAAGTGCATGCTAATCTCGGGCGGCGTGAGGAGAGCATCGCGCGGTGCATACAGCAGTCTTTACCTCAACCGCGACGTCTTGGTGGTCGGTTCAGGCGAGAACAACGACAACACATAGCTAGGCTATACGAAAAACTCGACGTTCGATTCCATGATGCCCGTCGCCAAAACACTTTAGGAGTATTGTACGAGACATCGGAGAGCGAGAACCACTGGGAAAAACAAAATATTCGACCTTAATCGAACGCTCCATGATGGCCGTCGCTAAACGCGTAAGAGACGAAGGAAAGCGAAGGATCACGGCACGCATCACGCACATGCCAGTCAGCTTCGATCATCCTGAAGCAAACCACACGAAGCATAACAACCAAGCAGCAGTTTGACACACGCACAGTAACACTATTTTGGTTTCAAAGACTAAGACTTCAAGTGCCGCACGCACCGCCGTCTGTCTGTGTGGCACACCTCTCCCCCCAGCTTTTCATGGAGGCGGGGTCTTCTTCACTCCAAGGGGGAGTGGCCCCTACTGCCGACTAACGTCTGCCTGCTGCTACCACTGCGGGGTTAGCAAACTTGCCACCTTGTCGTCCAGCGATGCCACCGCGACGCCGTAAACAAACGCACTTGACTGCCTTCCTTTCGTGCAACTTTCCACTTACAGTCTTGCCTTATCGAATCTTGATCGTTTCCGTTTCTCTGGAAACCACCGGTAAAACCTCGATCTGTGACAACCAGAAAACACACAAACGCACGCACGCACGCACGCACGCACTCCCACCGTGCGATTGTACATCAAACATCCCGCAAGCAATCTTGCACCTTTCGTACCCGACGTATTGCCGATCACCTCAAGAACAGTGGTAACAAAAAGCAACACGCATTATAGTACACACCGGTACCCTCACCACAAAAATCACCACCACGGAGCCCCCATCTCCTGAACCTTGAGAGGTATCTGCACCCGGGAAAACACCATCATACCATATCTCCTGCACACAAAGCCTCTCTCTCTTTGTTCTCGAGTGTGCCCCTTCTCTCGTTGCGCACGGGCCGTGTCAGGGGACATGAAAAAAGACAGTTCATCTCCAATGCACGACAACACCTAAATGCGTTCGTTGTACATGGAACCAAAAAAACTGGTCTTCGTCATGCGTCTGCCGCCGGCGACCCCTCCTTGACCATCTCCCCTAGCCACTTCTCCGCCTGTTTTCTCCCGCCGTTTCCGACGATCTTGCTCACCCTCTTGCTCAAAAACCGTAGCCGTTTCGGGAGCTCGATCTCCTCCACGACGACCCCTACCCTCACGCGAACGCGCTCCTCGTGCCCCCCGTCTTCCACCGGGGTAACCAGGAACGTCGTCTTTACGGAAAGGTCACCCGGAACCATGGGAAAACCCGTGATGCAGTCGCTCTCCGTGTAGCAGATCCCGCCGCCGCCGCCGCCCTTTTGGTGGCGATCGTCGAGCAGCGTGTGCTCCTGCACGACCTTTGCATCGGAAGAGCCGAACGGCGACGTGATGGCGTAGTTCAGGGTGGCCCTGCGCTGCAGCAAGAGCTGGGGTCGCGGCTGAGGAACCCCGTCTTGTTGTTGCTGTTGCTGCCGATCTTGCTCCCCTGGTTGCTGTTGCTGTTCCTGCTGCAGCTGCTGTAGTCGTCGTCGTCGTCGCAGAGGCAGAATACGCCCGACACGTGAGGTTGGTGCTGCTGCTGCTTCTAGTGGTGGCGGTGCAGGCACCGATTCTGATCGACTCTCCGCGCTAGCGGCGTCGATGCCGTCGGCCTGTTCCCAGCTCGTAAGGTCCACCACCTGTACACACACACACACAACAGACACACACACACAACAGACTCAAGACAAGGTGGGGGGAGGGCCAAGCAAGTAGAGGCCAGCGGGAATTGCGAAACAACGTTAGCAGGTCAATGAGGACGAGAAAACGGCCGAAAACTGCTACGTAAACCCCCATCTCCATACGACCAAATCCCGTCAAGATAGTCAATCGACTCAGCATCCGCAGGAGCGCTCTGCTTCAATCCATCTGGTAACAGATAGCTGACCCACCCACCTGTTGTCGAACGACCGCGCTCTGCTGTCTGGTGCTGCGATAGAAGTCTTTCGAGTGTGCGAATCGCCAGAAAGTGGCCGCGTCCATAGGCAGCGTCGTGTCGAGGCCGATTGTCCCGACAGTCGATGGCCTGGTCGTTTTTTGTTATTTGGGGCAGGCGATCGCGAAAAAGGCCACAGGAGAGCGGCGGGAGGGCGAAAAAGTAATGTACGATTGTGTGCTTAGGTCCAGCGGCAGACGCTACACTGGCAACATACGAACCTTCGTCCTGCTGGACGCGGGCAGCATCACACGTTATTTCCATTGGACCCAAAGCGGCAATTATTCCATGTCATGACGCCGCAGGGGTACAGCAGCAGGCGGTGTTCTGTGTTCGAGCGACTTCTGATACCGGAAGAGGCGGAGAGATGGCACCCCCCCCAGACCGACTCTCATCTCTCAAACCTCGATTGTTGCACAACCTAGTGAGTGCGGAAAGAGCCCGATAAGTCAACGGAAAGTCGCCGACGAGATGCTTCCAAAACCAACGTGACTGGTTTTGGAAGAAGCTTGGTTGCGAAAGCAGTTGTACATTGAAAATCGGTCTAAGGGGGGTGCCATTATCTCCGCCTCTTCCAGTATGACGTCCCAAAATAAATACCTAAATAAAAAATACCCAAGACTAAATAATAACACACCCAAAGCACGTTTCTCGTGCATATTTGATGTCTGTTTGACGGATTATAAAGAAAAACAGGGAGCGCGAAAAAACGACTGAACGCCAAAGAGAGCTAGGTGCCCACAGACCCGGGCTAACCCGACGAGACCCTTGCCGTGCATTATTTTCCAGGCCTCCTCTCCCTTTAGCCTGGCGAAGACCCTTACTCCGAGTAAGAAGGCTATGCATACATCAGTTTACCGTAGGTTGCCTAAGATATCACACTTTCATTAGATACCACACCCCCTCAGAAAACGTACACAATACCACACCCGTGTGCTATTTTTTTCAGCCCCCCCCAAAACGTCATTTTATCACACGGTGACATAAGATACCACACCCCCTGAAGTTGGGCCGCATTAAATCGACGGAGCCCCTGCTTATCACACGGTGTGACAACGTGAGGACAGAGATCACGACCACACCACCTGCTCGCAAGAGCCATGGAGGCGGACAATGTCGTGGAGGGTGGTGCAGTTAGGAACCCTGCTGAAAGCGCCGCGGCTCAGGCTGCAGTGGGTAAGACTCCAGCGGCGGCCCCACGCTCCATAGCGTCCTTCTTTCCACCCGCCCCGGGGGAACGTGGGGCTGCTCGGACGACTCCCTCAGCAGCCGCACATGACACCGCACGTACTGCTGAGGCCCGCTCAATAGAATCTACTGCTACTGAGACTCCCACAGCACCGGCTGCGCCTGCCACCGCGGGTGCCGCTGAAACCTGCGAAGCAGAACCTACTGCTGAGAATCCCGCAGCACCCACACCCACACCCGAAAAGGCAGCTCTCCCGCCAACCACCAACACCCTGAGCGCGGCTACTGCTGAGAACCCTGCAGCAGCACCGCGCTGCGGAGAACCATCGTGCACCAACAAGCCCTTGCGGGCAGAGCCAGGGAAGGATATGCCGGAGTTTTGCGGCAGGCGTGCGAAGTCTGGCGACGTCTACATCAAAATAAGGTGTGCGCAGAGCGTCTTGCAGTTTGCAGCACATGGGTGTTTGTGAGGATTCTCATGGCTCAAGCAAACCAAAGAACACGCCACGCCTGATTGCCTGATCGATAACCAGATCGAAAAAATAATGTGATTTTGACGTCGTGTCGTCGCGCTCGCCTCACTGCACATTGGCATGTACACACTACATTTACATGTAGTTCATATAATCTGGTGTGGGCGAAATGTTTACTGGATTGTTTTTTTCACACACACGACACGTTTCCGCATACCGTTTTTTGTGTTTGTGATGTTTCGGTAGGAAGACCGCGAAACCCGTACCCAACACGTGCACATACGTAAACATAACCTCGACAGCAGTTCGTGCCTGTTTGTGTGAGATACGAAATAGGCGCCGTCAGCTGCTCACCCTCTGTACCTTGCATGCGTGGACGCCATGACTCTCAACCTGGTGGCCGTTGTCAGAGCTATCTGCTAGCCATCGTATTTTTGGTACGTTTGCCTGATGGTCGTTGGAGCGAGCGCATTGTTACAGATACAGCACTTAACGACACGTATGCTACATGTTTTGTTGCTTCCTCGAACTCATTTGTTGTTGTTTGTTGTTGTTTTTCTTCACATTAGAACTCATGCGCTTTTCAGGAACGTGCACCTGCCTGAAGCACCGACGACAGCAGCCGCAGCGGCGCCCGTCGGCGACGCCATGTTTCCTGGAGAGTCAGAGGAGTGGACAGATGGTTTCGGTGGGCGTCTCGACGGCACGCCGGCCGAGGGCAAGGGCAAGGGCAAGAGGAAAAGAGAGCCGCTGGAATTGGAGCCACCAAACTTCCCCATTAAGTTTGGTGGTGGCCAGAAACGCAAGCGGTACGATTTGGAATTCAAAGTAAACGCCATTAAGTACGCGACCATGCAAAGCCCGGGGGCGCAGGGGCCTAATGGAACCATCGGTGTGTTGTATTCGCAACGAGTGCTTGGGATTCCCGAGAAGATCACACTCTCTGCGTGGACAAAAGACAGAACAAAGTACGAGAAGCAGCTGGAACAGGCAGACCAGCTCGGGGCCAAACGCAAGAAAAAAGCCCGGAGCGTGAAGTCGTTCAACACGGGGAGGGTTAGGTCAAACGCTGAGGCCGAGCTCGAACTTCTCGACTGGATCAACTATGTTCGTTCGGAAGCCATCTCTGCCCGCGTCTCTACAAGGATGATCAAGAACAAGGCGGTATCGCTCAACTCGCTTTGGTTCGGCCCGAGGCCTGCAGCGAACGACCTGGAGGGCAGTGGAAAGTACCGCAACAAGCAGACTCACTGGTGCAGGAGGTTCCTTAGGAAGAACCGGTTGTCATTCCGGGCGGTTACTAGGCAAGGCCAGAAAATCCCTTCCGGGTGGCCTGCGATTGCCATGAAAGCCGTCAAGGAATGGAGGGCGCTTCGTCACGGAGGAATCGACGGTGGGGGAGGACGGAGCATGGGGGGGGCAACGAGCAGTGCGCCTTCGAAGCCACCTCTGTTGTTCAAGGAGGAGCAGAGCTACAGCATGGATGAAACTGCTGTGTGGATGGAGCCCGCTGGCACGTCGACCGTGGCGGTGAGTTCAATAGTGTTGCTTCGAGTCATGCGCCTGTCTGGTCGTTTCTTGGCATTCCGTGCAAACAGTGGGCATTGTGATGCAATATTTCTTGCCGTACCTACTCAGTGTCCAGCCAGTAAGGCTAGACGACGTTGGTATTGTGCTTATGCCGGGTTAGAAGTTTCTTACCATTCGCATCCATAATCGCTGTACTGCAAAACCCATACGTTACTTTGTGCGTGAAGAGCTGTCATTCTCATCTACAAAATCGACTTTTTTCGTCGCCTCTGCTTTCTCTATTGCTTTTTGCTTTTTATTTTTGTCGTTCGCAGCACACCGGTCAGAAAGAGGTGGCCATCAAAACCGGTGGAAAGGAAAAGTTGCGGATCACTGCCGTGCTTGCAGCAAACATGAAGGGCGGCAAACTCCCGCCGCTGCTCATCTTCAAGGGTAAGCCTACGGCGCCGGGCAAAACCCCCGCTGCCAACAGCATCGAACGAGAGTTCAAGGTGGGCAAGGACCAGAAGGGGATAGTATACCCTCAGAGCGTTGTGTACGCCGTGGACGACAAGGCGTGGCACACGCAGCGCGTCTTCAGGGATGTTTGGCTCCCCCAAGTGTGGAACCGGCGCCCGGGTCGCGAGGGGGTCCTGGGCAACTACCGTCAGCCGGACACGCTGCTATCGTGGGACGATTACACCGTGCACAAGACAGCCCTGTGCAAGGAAGCGATGGATAAGTCCAACACGACGCTGTTTTTTGTCCCCGGAGGCCTAACGCCCAAGATCCAGCCTTGCGATGGACTTATCAACAAGCTGTTCAAGTCCAACATTTCCAGGCTCTACGATGACCACATGGCCTCCACCGACGCCGTGCGCAACGACCGCGGCTACCCGGATCCCCCATCGAGGGGATTGCTCGCGCAGTGGGTGAAGAAAGCGTGGGATGAAGTGGACCCTGAGAGCATCCGTTCGAGCTGGAGGAAGGCTGGCATGACCCTTGCCTTCGATGGATCTGAGGACGAGGCGTGGGCCAACAAGGAGCTCAACTCCGACGCCCAAGGGAAACCACTTCGTGCAGACGGCGACGCGGCCGCTGCCGGCGTGGAGGAGGCTGGCCCATCGGAGGAGGGGGAGACGATGGCCGACTTGTTGGAGGTGTTGGAAATCGACGACGATGACAGCTCGGGAGATGGCGAAGGCAACGATGACTCGGAGGTTGAGGTCATGGCAGACTTGCCGGGGGTGGACGTTGTTTGCATAGACTGAGGTGTCTTGTCTGGTATCTACCTACCGTAGTTGCATGCCATGGTCAAGTCAACCAAAGCTGCTATTCGAGCCAATTTGTCCTGGGTTTCATATGTTTCGGTAGTCGCTTGTCCTCTTGGTTGCTAGCTTTGGTTGATATGTAGCTGGCACTTGCTTGCGTCCTATATGGTTCCAGCTTGAGTGTTGGATGCAAGTCTTGCAAGTGGTTGCGTCGTCCAGGTACCTGTGTGCTGTCGTTTTGTCGCACACAACACCGGCACAACCGCTATGAGGTATCGGTTCTACGTCTTCGTTGTGTACCTATGCGAAGAATTTCCAAAGGATACTGCGAAAATGCACGTGGGAAAGCATGTACGTGATGGAGTGGTGTGAGCCATCCTAGCTATCACACCTGTTTACACCCCTTGACGCCCTTTGTACGTGGGTGCCTCCTGTAAGCGCACCGCATCACTCGAGCGACATTATTATCACACCCCCGTAGGTAGGGTCTTGTGGGCGCACTGCAACCACACGGGCGACATTATCACACCCCCGTCAGGCCGGGTCCTGTGAGCGCGTATCATCACACGGGCGAAGTTATCACACCCCCTGGTTATCACACCCCCTGTAAGCCGGGTCCTGTGAGCGCGCTTCATCACACGGGCGACGGTATCACACCCCCTGTTGGTGAGACTCTGTGAGTACACTTTATCACACGGGTGACATAAGATATCACACCCCCTACAGAATACCACACCCGTGTGATAACTTTCGTCCTCCCGAAAATGTTATCACACGGGTGTGGTATCTTATGCAACCTACGGTAGTCTACATGTAGTTCGGACGACGCACGTTGCCCCTTGATCCCCCGTCTCTTGAGCGACAGGGTGATGGTTGGGATGTTCTCGGTGGCAAGCGACATATATTGATGGCTTGACATTGTAAGCCTAACGTGGTTCGTCAGCCGCAATTCGCAAACACGAGGTAGCAAACGGGGAAACGCTTGGTTTGCCA